AAGAAATTTAACTTTTTGTTATTGAGAATTCATTACCTTTAGTTCTTAATGTGATAAAGACAAGTTGAAAAACCTTGATAGCTGAATACAGAACTGAAGCCCCAAGGGGGTGGTGGAGGGGAGGAACAATGTGGGAAGGAAGCACAATTGTCTATGGTGTGGTGGACTGTGGATGAGTTGGTGGTGGGTGCACTGTGGAAGTAATAACTGATGGGGATATACCAATATTACCTCAGTTAAAAATAAATTAACTGATATAAAAATGTATTTTATGATATATATTAGTTTATATAAAAATAACTTTAATGACTTATTTAAAAAACACAAACATTACACAGTCAACAAAAAAGTTATTTTAAAATGCATAGCATAAGATCCTGCACTTTTGTTAGAAATGGCTACAACTATTATATGTTTCTTGTTTTTTTTAACAACTAACAATCTACATGAATACCTAATAAGTAATCAGAAAATAATAATAACTAATAATTGATTGTGTTTCAACTTTTCCAGGCATTCACTGAAATGTATTACATGTTCTGACTCATTGACATTCAAGGCAAATCTTTGGGGTTAGTATTAACTTGATGCCAATTTTATAGATAAAGAAATTGAGTCAAAGAGAAATTAAAACACTTCCATAAACTCATATATCTGTTATAGTTATGCCAAATCTGAATTCATAACATCTGGCTTCATTTGATAATTACTAGAGAGAGACCATTCCTGGCATTAAGACCAGAGAAATATCAGTGAATACAATGCATATTATTCATGGCTTGTAACAGAAATAGCTCTGAGATTTTACCTCTGCTACCTATACTTTAATTCAAAATACATTTTTCTCTTGTGGCAACACGGATGGAGCTGGAGAGGATTATGCTAAGCAAATCAAGTCAGAAAGTGAGAGACAATTACAGGATGGTATCACTTGTATGTGGAAGACAGAGAAACAAAACAAAGGATTAGACAATAACAAGCCCTAGATAACTGATAGTAGCAAGTAGGCTACCAGAGAGCAGAGGGAGAACAGAATGAGAAGGGGGCACACTGGGAAGGGCCTACGGTGGTGGACTCTGGGTGCTTTGGGGGTGATGCGGTATAGTAACAGCACCTAAAAGGAAGAATCTACACCTCTGAAAGAGAAATCATGTTGTAAACCAATGTCACCTCAATAAAGCATATATATATATATATATATATATATATATATATATATATATATATATGGGAACAGTGACTGTGTTTAAAACAATTTGAATGATTTACTTCCAGTTTTTTCTTATATTAAAAAACACATGTTAATACCTACATCCTATATATATCATAGAAAGAAATTAAGGTGGCACTCAGGGCTTTTCCTCATCTTATATCTCTTTCAGTGTGGAGAGACCTGTGACTAGCTCCCCACCAACAGAATATGGCAAAAGTGATGGGAAGTCGCGCTCATGACTTTAGTATCTCATGTAGATCTTCATCCTACTAGCAGGGTCTTGCCATATTGGTCTTTCCATATTGTCTTGATGAAGAAAGCTGTCCTATTATGGGGGGACCACATGAAAAAGAACAGTGACTTTGGAAGCTGAAAGCCTCAGTCTTACAACTGCAAGGACCATGATTCAGTCAGCAACCATAGGATCTTGGAAGAGAATCTGCACAGTCTCAAATTAAACAACAGTATTTGCTGACACTTGATTACAGACTTATGACAACCTGAGGCAAAAGACTCAGTTAATCTGAGCTCAGGCTCTAAACACACAGAAACAGTGAGGCAATAAATGTATTTTGCTTTAAGCTGTTAAAATAGTGGTAGTAGTAGTAGCAGCAGTAGTTGCTGCAGCTGTAGGAACAATAATAAAGGGATTTCTTAATTCTACTTGAATTTATTGGAGTCTGGGAGTATTCAATGGTTGAGCTGTTCAAGTGTAAAAATATATCCATTTAATACTGGTTTGAGAAGAGAGGAATAAGATGATGAGGCAGAAAAAGAGACCCCAACTATTAGACCCCCAACCACACACAAAATAATGTGGGCTTCTGAGTATGGTACCAAGGTGATACCCTGTGATGGGAAGATGAAGACTGTATCTGAGTCCTCCAAAACCACTCCTTCCGTTGTTATCTTTCTCCTGTTTTACCATGCTACATAATTTCTAAATGATTCCTTTCCCTAATCAACTACTAACATCATCAACATAACAGCATCACAGGTATTAATTGTCAATATTATCATTAAAATAGCCAGGCCTGAGATTTTGCTCACTCATTTACCTAACCTAGTTTGAGGCTAATTTGTTTAAAATTCTGCAAATGATGTAGTGTTGAAAAACATAAAGACCCTTAGAAGCCATCATCCTAAAATACTTGTATTATGATTTCTCTACTGTGCTAAAAGTGCATCCTAATGGGATCTTCATTGGTACTGTAAGTTCATAAAATCAGGTACAGCAATTAAAAATAAAGCAGGCTAAAATGTCAGATATAAAAATGATTCTCTGTAATTGTGGGTGAAGTCGTAGAATTGCATTGTGTGATACTGATCAATAGTCAAATGCTGGCACCAATTTCACATATATTTCCAGGTAATAAATAAAAATTTTGATCTCTAATATTTTTCCCTCCTATATTTTATTAATTAAGGTTCTGGATTTTACATAATTTCACTCAATTCACACAGGCTTAAATAATTTGGGGGGGGGCCTCCCTGGTGGCACAAAGGGTTGAGCACTGCACTGCGAGGTAATTCGCAGTCTCTGCAGCACGGGTTCAATCCCTGGCCGGCCAGGAAACAACCCACACGGCACAGCAGACCTCTCCTGCCTCGCCCGTTGCTCCCCTCAGCAGTGTGCTTCGGTCAATCTGCCTGTTCTGTTCCCCACTCTGTCTCTAGAGAATCCTCTCACTCCCCGCATCTCTGGCCCGTATCCCACTCTCGTGTGCATAAATGAATAAATCTTAGAAAAATAATTTTGGGGAACAAAGGAGGTAAAAAGTACCATTTTGATATCAAGATTTTTGCCAAGTGAATGGGGAAATAAGATGGATGTCTTTAAAAGATGAAAGTAGAATGTTCTATAACCTCAAGGTCAAAAAAGTGGTATAAACGATGAGTGTTTTCAGGAAGAAGATCACCACGGATAGAGAGGTCAAGGAGGACTTCCAGGAGGGCAAAGGAGCTGAAACATGTTCTTCAAGAAAAGTAGGTTCTAAACAGAAGAGGTTTTTTTTAATGTTGTATTGAAGTGGCACTGGTTTAAAACACCATATAAGTTTCAGGTGTATAGCATTACAATTCAACACCCATATGTACTTCGTCATAATTACACCTAAGGTCTAGTCTCCATCCTCCACCAGAGAATCGACCCCTTTTCACTCAGTCTTTATTGCCCATTTCACTCAGTCTTCATCTCCCTCAAATAGCCACCACTATGTTCAGAAGAGAATGTTTTAGACAGAGAGAAAGAAAAGTACAAAAACAATAATTCACAAGTCCGAGCCAAAAGGTGATGACAATCCTATCATAGCAGTACCCTGCCATGAATGTGAGGAGAAGTAGGTAGTAAGACTGGGTGGGCAAAGATGTTTAATACCAGAATAAAGAGATTAGATTCTGCACGAGATGGCGAGTTCCCAAAGGTTTCTGAAGAAGAGAGGGAGATGATGTATTCAGAATTATGTCTATCCACAGGTTGAGTTCTACTAGTAGAGTTACACAGGATGGTTAAATCCTTCTTCCATGAGAGCCTTCCATCTGTTTGAAAACTATGATGTTCCTCCATTAGGGGTAAAGATGAGAAGTACAGATTAAAGAAGGAAAAGACTGAAGTGAGGGAAACTAGTTTAGTCGGTTGCAACTTGTACAAGGCTTAAAATGGTAACAGAATAAAAAAATGAAGAGAAAGAAAGGGACAGCTATGATTACAAGTAACTATGAACACTTTCCAACCAAAAAAGTTACAACTGACACAGGCAAATGTTGCTTTAAGAACAGACAGAAAACTACAAAAAGACAATCCTTTTACTGAGGGATCACCCCTGAAGTTCTGAGAGAGCATCCATCAATTTTTTTCCTATACCCCTAATTATTTTACATACTTTCTCAGCACTATAGGTGTTACTGAAGCATCAACACAGTCTCAGAAAAGTCTTGGAGACTGTTCCTTTAAAATTCTCTTCAGCATTAAAGAATACTTTCCAACTGAAGAAGTCTAAATTCTAAAACTTAAAATCATGCTTGTGCAATATAAAACATGCTGCAATAAAGTCCTAATGTTACCCTGTTTCTACAATGTTAACTCATCAATATTTTCAAAATATCTGGCAGTTTCCTTTTGATAAGGGTAACACTATAACATTTTTATAATTACACATACTAAAGAACATCCTCTTATATGTTCCTTCATAGGATTTATGGAAAAGTATAAGAGATAAGCAAACTAGACTATATTAAAAAATAAGTAGCCTATGGCCAAATAAAACTTTGAACTTAGATGGCTCAGGATTGCTGTCTTGTTTGTTTTCTAAGATACTTTCAGAACCTCATGACTGAATATAAATTTCAAGGCTCAAAAGGTACCCTCTGTCTTATTAAATTGCAAGTTAAGAGTTCACCAAAGATCAGTCCTGACTGATTCTTTAAAATAATAAAAAGATTTAAAAATTGCATTTATTAAACCTCAATTCTATCTATCTAGAAATTCTTACTATATTAGCAATAAGGCATATATTAACACAGCCCAGTAAAGAATCACATTGACTCATGTAGCAATCCCATTTATCTTATTATAGTTCTAGAGTATCATATTTTGTAGTTTTAAACACTTATATAAGCTAATTACAGTAAGGGAAAAATTAAAAGCAAAAGGCAAGGTTTTAGCATTTAGATAAATCCTTTTTGTTATCACATATACTTGTAGGAACAATTATAGAAAACTAAAATGCTACAATATATCAAGGAACCATCTGAAATGACATATTTATATCTGAAGTCACATATTTACCTGACTGTGCCCTTGGTGTTTCGGAGAACTGTTGCAGCAAAATTCTGTGTGACACCCACCAAGCTGATTCCATCCACTTCCACAATCTGATCATTGACTTGTATTCTTTAGGAAGGGAGAATAAATTAAAAAATATTTATTAATAAACAAAAAATGGTTTATGATCACAAAGTACCATTCCAATAAATGAGTTGAGAAAATACCTTCATTTTAAAAATACTCTTAATGATCAAAAATTTGGCTTTTATATACAAGTTCCAGATATTATCTAATGCTTAAATTTTTAAACGATTGTTCTGAAGAACAGAAATAAATAATACTAAATGGAGAAACTGTTTATGCAACATCCATATACCTGGTACAAAGAAGTGATAACTGAAAATATGTAACATATTTACATCATTTTTTGTCCTTAATAAATTACATAAAACAAAAAATTTTCACCTCTCTCCTTCAAGGAAACCCATCACCAGAAATGCTGGGAATGCTCCCTATTCAAGTTGTGAACCTCAAAAACATATTGTTTAAAAAAAAGAGGTGCACATGTGTGTGCGTGGGTGCATATGCATATGTATCCTTAGGAGCAATATACAGCATTAGTGTTGTTTAGTGTATAATACTTTAAATATATATATATATGTGTGTGTATACATTTTATAAATACCATTTTTTATTCCTTAAAATGAAGTATTTCAATCATGGATAAATACAGAAGGAAGTAGATAATAAAAGTTCATGTACCCAACACTGTCAGTACTACCCAATATTTGAGTTAAACTTTTCCCAAGGAAATGCATTACAGGAAAGCTGAAGTCCCTTTGTTATCTGTCTCTAACTGTTCTCTCTTCACTGCTTCCACAGAGGGAACATCATATTAATTAAAAAGCTTAGACTTTTTTTGAAATATAATACACATGTATGAATAGGCAGATATGGATACATTTGCAGTTATCAAAATTATAAAGAATTATAAATCAAAATTATACTTCCTTCTCTACAATTTAGTTTGTTTCACTCAATATCATATGTTAGATTTAGCCAAGGTTACAAATACAATTTTAGATAGTTCATTTGAAAAAGTATAGTGTTATCTTTTATGAATATACTGAAATACATTCATCCATTATGGATGAATGTGTTGTTTATAATTTTAGCTCTTATGAATATGGTATAACAAATAATTTCATACATGTTTTTCTATGCATATGTGTGTTTCTCCAAGATACATACTAATAAAAAGGAGTTATGATTCAAAGAACATAGGCATTACACCAATGTACATTATCAACATAATGCAAAAAAGTTTTACTTTCCAGATCCTCCCCAATATTTGGCGATTTAAATACTGCCTATCTAATAAGTATAAAAAGATAATCACATTATGATTTAATTGCATTTACTTGATTAGAGTGGTTGAATATTTTTTTATGTTTATGAGCATATGTCCACTTCTATAAGCTCTCAGATCTTACCTATTTATTGTCAATATTGTTGGACTGAGCATCTTTTGTTTCCTGATATCTATGTATCTCTATATAGATACATATGTCTTTATATCTGCAAAATAACACTTTCCCAATCAAATTTATTGCAAATACCTTTGCCCAATTTATAGTATGTTTACATTCCTTTGGAAATTGATGGTTTTGAGGAAAATGATTTTTCATAATATAATCACATTTGTAAAATGTTAGCTTTTAGTTAACTTTTGTATTGTGTTTAGGAATCCCTTTATTATCAGGGTTATAAAAACATTACATGTTTTCTTCTAAAAATTCTGACACATTGCTTTTCTGCATTTAGGTAGTTTTTCAGTTGGATTTTATTTTTTATTATAATATGTACTATATAATATGTATTAGTAATCTAATTTTATTTTTCCAAGTGTATAATCAATTAGCTAACATTTAAGAGAGATTATTTATTTGTCACTGATTTTCAGAGTTTCCTTTGTTCACTTTTCCAATGTGAATCACCATGTTTCTGGGTTCTCCATTAGGTTCTACTTGCCTGTCTATCTCTCAAATTGCACTGATTTACTTAGTTTCATAACTGATTTTGACATTTCATAGGGTAGTTTCCTTCCCCTACTTCTTGGTCATGAAAATATTTTGAGCTATTTAAGCATTTGTTCTTCATAATTATTAAGAGTTTTTTTAATTTACTTGCCAGCTTCCATAAGAACATTTGTTGGGGATTTAATGAGATTATACTGATTTTAAAGGTTAGTTTTGGGAAAACTGACATCTTTACACAAATTGACTCTCCCATTGATACAAAACTGAATGTACCATAGTTATCAGAGGCAGGAGTTATGTATTGCACATGTTGTTTCCATATGTTAAGAAAAGTTACTTAAAGCTTAGAAATAGGAAGAAAAGGGGGACAATATGTTCTTTCAATGCCAATGGGCACATTATTGAACAGGCCCAACCTAGTATGATATGGGGAACATACTTTAATTGACCCACTGTTTAAAACTGATTAAATGTCCTAGACATAGTAAACTACATGTCAATTTATATAATTTTGTCTTGGATAGATTTAGATACTTTATATTTATGAAAGTTATCTTTCTCTTTTAATACCAACTCAATTGTGTCAGCAAGAAATGCATTTCATGGACTTCTTATATCCAGGAATATCCCTGCTGAATTCCAGAAAGATTCTGTAGCTGCAATAGGACTTTATCTTTGCTACCTTAGGTTATTTTTTTCCTGGTTCTTAGCCATTTTTAGTTCTGGATCTAGCTTGCACTTAAACAAGAGTTAAAAAAAAATCCCCTCTATTAATAGCAATGCTTGGCAGTGTAATTTTATAATCTGATCATTCCAAAATCTCCATGAGCATTATGGGTATTTATTATTTCTCACGTGAAAGATAACAAAGAATCTGAGTAACTATCCTGTTGCTGATGATGCAAAACTGAAGCTACAAATTCCCTGTATTGAGGGCCTCCCCGGTGGCGCAGCGGTAGAGCGCTGGGTTGCGAAGCTGCCCGCAGCCTCTGCGGCGCCGGTTCGATTCCCGGCTGCTCCCCGGCCACCGGAGGAGGGTCCCACATGGTGCGCAGACCTCTCCTGCCACCCGCTGCTCCCCTCAGCAGTGTACTTCGGTCCTTCTGCCTGTTCTGCTCCCCGCTCTGGCTCTGGTGAATTCTCTCACCCTCCCGCGCTTCTGACTGTACCCAGTGCATGTATAAACAAAACAAATGAACAAACAAATAAATAAATAAATAAAACATGCCTCTATAAAAAAAAAAATAAATAAATAAAAAAAAAAAAAAAAAAATTCCCTGTATTGAAACTGAGTAAAGGATTTATTACATTATGTAACTAGAAAATATTTTGCTAAGGGCAGTAACAAATTAAAAGATTAAATTATAAATTAACAAATGAATATTAAGTCTCTGAAATCAAAGGGGTGATATCTAATTGGTCAGAGAGAATAGTAACTAATTTAATAAATCACATTGCAGTATTGAATGAAAACTTTAAATAGGAAGACATTTAAGAAAAAAATCCTGCTAGAAATTCAGAAGCATTATTATAGTGTAAAAAAAAAGAGGGCCTCCCTGGTGGCGCAAGGGGTTCAGCACCACACTATGAAGCAATCTGCAGCCTCTGCAGCACGAGTTTGATCCCTAGCCGGCCAGGGAGCAACCCGCATGGTGCAGCAGACCTCTGCTGTCTCACTTGCTGCTCCCCTCAGCAGTATATTTCAGCCAGTCTGCCTGTTCTGTTCCCCACTCTGTCTCTGGTGAATCCTCTCACTCCCCGCATCTCTGGCCTGCACCCCCATTCTTGAATGCATAAATAAATAAATCTTTTAAAAAAAGAGAGAAACAAGACTAACGAGTCTAACTTAAAATATACAACTATGTTTTCTTTATAATTTGGTAAGGCTGTGGGTTTATATTTTCAGGAAGAGATTAGTTAATCCATATTTGCCATAATTCTGATATAGACACTGATCAGATAAACTAATAGTCCTACTATATAAAGTTAGAAATGTATAAAAAACATACAATTGTGTTTAACAAAGCTGAGTCATGTTCTGACAAACTTTTTATCTATAATAATTATGTTTTAGTGTTCACTTATAATATGCTTTCTAAGATTCTTAGTTATCTCCAAAATCTTAATCATAAATCATAGTTTTTACTATGTATAATTCTGCTTATGTTAAAATGTTAGACTTACTATAATTTTGCATCATTTTAATGAATGTATTCAACCCTGTACTTCAAGAAGATATAAAAATAATGTGTGTGGTTACAAAAAGTGGTATTTGCTATTCTACTGGTTGCTTGTGATGACAGGCAGCTACTGTCAAATCGCTACCTACCAGGACAGCGTGTTAAATAGAAGTTAGTTAGGTAGAATACAATTTAAATTTAATATGGATAATTGAGGCTGTGCTAGATGCAATAATAATAAAATATATATGTAAATAAAAGTGAAATTTTACTTTTCAAAAGATAGTAGTTGAGTCCTAAAGTAAAGTATGAGCCTGTTCATTATCTTCTATGAGATATGAAAACGTGAGTGTTTATAGCAAGTTGAGGATGGCTTGAAAAAGTGAGGTTTTAATTTGCCTTGATTTATGCCATTTTGGGCCTATAATTAGCTATATTTTTTACACAACTTACTCCTTTTTGATGGACTGACTCATAAAATAATTTAGGGGAAAAGACTGTATTTCTTCTACTACTGGAGTTATGCAGAATATCATGATAGATCTTCATATATTTGAAAACTACTTATTATGTTCCTTCTTTAGGGCAAGGATGGGAAGGACAGGTTAAAGCAGGAGATACTGAAATCAGGGAGAAGTTAAAAAGTAATTTGCAATTTGTACAAGTCTTAAAATGGTTTTAAGCAAAAATTATGAATGAGTGTTCCTTTCATTTCACATTTTCCCCAGTATTGGTGTTGTCAGTGTTCTGGATTTTGGCCATTCTAATAACTGTGTTGCAGTGTCTCATTTTTTTCATCTTCGATGACTCACAGATTTGATATGAGGCTTGTATATAGAATGTTATAAAGAATAGTTATGAAGAATAGTTACACAGAAATCAAGAATAGTTCGTTTGAAGTGGACAA